CACAACTGTTACCGGTTAAGTAGATAAACGAAAACAACTTTTCAACAACTCTAATTCAAGACCATCAAGTGAGCGTCACCTTAAAACAGTGTTCCATAACGCGGCCAGACGCCAAACCTCTGTTTGTTGCAAAGCCTCCTCCGAACCTGGAACTGTGAAATGGCAGTCTTGTGGAAACCTGACACACGGCTGCCTTTGCGCCTGGTGCCCCCTCTTTGCAGACCTCCTTCCTCCCCCAGACAACACCTGTTCTGCTCAAAATCAAAAGGCCAGCCAAGCCTACACTGCTGTCCTCATATCCTCCTTGCTCAACACACATACCAGGCAATAATAATACATGACGGATAAACAAGCTCAACTGTTTATCTTTGCCCCCCTCCCTCCATAGTTTCCTTCGATGCTTCTGGCAATAATCCATTTTGATTTTATCTGCAAATATTCGTTTGATGATATTGTTAATCAAATTAAAGGACATGTGACATCAGGAACATCAATTTCAGGCACACCAGCGAATGGAAGAGAAAGAATGGAGGACTGGCTGAGTTTCATATTGCCTGATGGCTTTGAGTCACAGACTGCCCGCTTGTCTTATGATCTCAAGAACAGAGGCTTACTTATTATAGCATCTGTTTACAACACAATTAATAGTCACACGATCTTTGTCAAGTGAATTGTTTCTCTGTGCTCCATTTCCAAAAGAGGTTAAGCTATGCAAGGGCATATGTTATGCTTGTCTCGAGAGGGATTTTTGTACTTGAGACCAACAAATATACAACTAAAACACGTGAGGCAGGCATTCAAAATGTCCTATAGTTTTTGTAAGCTGCTGAGGAAACTCCTTAATGATAGCCCGGTATTTTAAAACGTACTCAGGGTTTCCTCCCACCCCTTTCTGTTAACCTGTATGCCTACATTTCACTGAGTAGTTTCTCAACCACACCATTGCTTCCTTTCAAGGTTTCTTGAACATTTCCGCGCCTCTAAACCCCCCTTTACTATCCAAGTTCCTTCCTTCCCTCCCCACTTCCGTGCGCTGCAAGAAGTATGTCAAAACAGTTCAAATAATTCACTCTCAACCATGCGCTGCCGCGTGGGGAATAGAAAGAGAGAGTGGTTTGCAACGCAGTTACGTAACAAAATAGAGAAAGTAAGAGGGTGTGATCTGAAATTATGCATTGGAGCGAGACATTCAGTAATTAGTTTTCTCTCCGCCTGCTGGTTATTTTTGTGAATACGAATGTTGTCTTTCTCTTTCCTCTGGGTGATTTTATTTTTCAAAAAACCAATGTGCGATATTAATATGTGCCTAATTTGAGAGTGACACTACTTCAAATCCACTGCCCCCCTCTGAAACTGAACAGTGCAGTACAGTTTTAAGTAGTAATGAAAAGCATGTGAAATCCAAAAAAAAGTGAGGGAACCAAGATCATGTGAAAGATTTGCCAGCTATTCTCGTCTGTTTTCATTGACTGAATGAAGAGAGGAGGCGGGTATGTAAAATGAGCTGCGCTATGGCCCATGGGGAAAACAGACATTCTTTTGGTTAAGTTGAAATGCTTTTCGCCTGGTTAAGATACTATAACTGGCAGTGTTATTTGACCTAAGTGGAATTTGATCTGCTCGAGTTAATTGGGTAAAGCTGACTTTGTGGAACTGCTATCTTCCCCTTTTGTCCGTTCCATACACATTTCTGTTGTGTTTGAGATATATATAATGTCATGGATACAGTAATGAGTTGTCGATAGCTTTATGTTAATATCTTCACTCAATTCATACCGGCAGAGACAAAGAGAAAGCGACAGAAGGGACAAGATCAGGTTGTGGATGCGTGCAGGGCTTGCAGTCATATTTTGCAGACACCATTCCTATCTTATCCTTTTATAACTCTCAGTGGCCCTGGCTCTTGTTACTCTGTCCTGAGAGTGTGCAAAAGGCTATTTCAAAGAGCAGGCTTAAATTACCCCAAAGCATTGCATGTATTTTCCAGTATACCCAATCATGCGGGACCAGTCAATTTATTGACATGCACTAATTGGTCTATTGCTTGTTGTATGCCCCTTGGACAGGGTGCAGCGGTGTACTATGGAGACCAGTTTGCCAAAAACCATGGCGGTCTAAACGCTTTGTTTATTAATCCTTTTTTCCACACACCTTGACTTTCGGAAAAAAATAATGTGTTAATAGTTGGGATACAATTCCGTCAGGAGATAAACTAGTCTATATAACTCTCACACACACACACACACACACACACACACACACACACACACACACACACACACACACACACACACACACACACACACACACACACACTATACAGTTACACAAGGAGCTACATGCAACTCCAGCTACAGCATATTGTCTCAAGTCCTGTGAAGTAGCCAAAACATCTGTGGCGTCTTCTTTTAACCTTCTCTTGTTTGATTCATTATATACTGGCAGTGTGGCAAGAGTGCCAGACGACAGTTGAGCGGTTAATGCTTAATATCAACCCTTTGGGAACAGCGGTTTCTGTATCTCTGCGTCAGGTTCCTCTTGTTCCTAGCAGCTTGTTATCATGCAGAGCAGAGTTCTGGCTTCAGTGAATGGGGAAGGGAGCCTCATTGTTAGAATCATCTTATTTACCGTCGTGCAAAATATCATGGAAAAATATGGAGAAAATTAAATTGTCGTTATTTCTCAGATTTTCATTTGAAAGATTATTTTCTCAGTTTTCCTAAAAAGAGAAAGTCTAAATTATCCTTAAATCTCTTTTCAGGTAACATGTTATTCCATGTTTTGTGGCAGTTTCTTATGAGTTTATATGTCTAATGTTGCCTTTTTCACGTGTATGTGATGTAAACAATCATGCGGTTTACTATGTACTATCTGAGCAATCCAACTACACCATCATAATTTAACACCTAAATAATTGGAGGACGTCAATTGAAATAGATCACACAAAGAAAGAAAGACACAATACATGTGTCTGTCTTTGTTTGTGTGATCTATTTCAATTGTAAAAACGCATAATTGAAACCAACGTATACATGAAGAGTGTAGTTGTATTTTGCAATTCCCTGAATAAGTATGGTGCAGAGTGATAAAACTAGTAAAGAGGTTCTAGTGTCTGTTTCCAAGTTGTCAAATCATCCCCCCCTAAATACACAGTCACTGCTATGATTCATACCCTTTTCATATCCAGTGTTCTGCCATCCTGTGGATTGGCTTTTGCCATTTTGACCGTGTCAAATGATAATAATAATACTTTTATATTGCGCTTTTCTAAATACGTAAAGATGCTTTTCATAAGGCAAAGAAAGACAGACAGAACAAAACAAAACCAGGCTATGCTGCACTACTAGTCCACCATGGTAATACAATGTTGTAAATATCCCAAAACTTTTCCCGTTGTTGTCATGTCTAGAATGACTGCTGCCACATCCTCTGGCATGGGATGATCTCTGATCATTAGGGAAACATATATCACGTACGTGTTAGTGTGCACCACAGCTCTGTGAGTGTTCACAACACAAGGCAGCTTAACCAGCATTGTTTTCTCTATTGCCAATGGAGCCGGGGGGTAGCCAAACAATCCGCCTTTTTTCTCCGGGGCAGGGTGGGGTGTGACTCAAAGCAAATGTGCAAAACACAGAGTGCACACGGGGCGAGAAAGAGGGTTAGAGCCTTTGTTTTATGGAACACAACACTGATCTTGACCTCCTGACCCTTTAGGTCCGCCATGCAAAAGCGATCAAAAATGGGCCGGTGAACAGGAAACTGGAAGGGTGGTGTCCCGGGAGGACGTCTTTCTCTGTCCCCCTGAAAGTGTCCCCGCTCCTCATTGTTATTCATGAGCTGTCTCGACGTTGGCGACGGTGCTTTATTGCTACTCTGCCATTCTGGCTGCAATGACTCAGTGATGAGGCTCTTAAGCCAGTAGTCAAGTCAAAGAGTAATTCGCCA